ATTATTTCTTACAGCCGCCATTTTAATTTTAAAACAGGTCAATTAGTAGCTATTTTTCTAAGCAGCTTCATAGAAAATGAATTGTTTTTAATGTTACAATTATTCTGCATTCAGTTATTCATTGTGCCTTGAATACGATCGTTTTAGTGTTTTAATAATGTTGTGCCTGCCTTGAACGTGACTGAAATATGTGGCCAATGAACTGTTTTGAGTGCCAGTAGATGGCAGTGTTGTCTTTCAAATTGGAGATTCAAGCCATCTGAATGAAGATATAGGCCTAGAGAACAATATTTATTACATTACGTAAGTACCAACATCTTTAATAAAAAAATATATACAAGATGTTTAAATAAAAAATATTGTTTCTTCAGACAGATTCATTATTAATTAAAAGCAATTCATAGTTGTCATTTAAAAAAAATGAAGAATAATTATTCTCAGTATAATCATTTAAATAATATGAATTTAAAGCAAATATTTCATCTTAAATGTTTAATAACAAATTACTATCAGTTACTGTGTCGTTTTAAATTACATTCTGAAGATATTGTTTGAGCTTGTTCTGTAAATTTTAAGCTCAAACGGATAGAAATTCTTTTGATTGATCATTGTCTGTGTGTATTGTCCAGAAATAATGATATTTCTGCTGTTTCATCTGTTATTATCTCATATTATATATAAACCCAAACTGAAGTTATTTTTAAATTCAAAGCAAAAGCTAGTTACTACTACTCATGGTGCGGATATTAAATTAGTGTCCCGGTACAAATTTCTTGGAATTTTATTTGATAATACACTGTATTTTAGGTCTCACATTCAGTAATTGGTGAAAAAAATTAAAAGGAAAAGGTTTTAGATTTTAGGCTTCAATTTTAGAATTGAATTATTATTGTTATTATTATTATATGCTAAAAAGAAGCTTGATGCAACATTTATGTCGATATTGGTCTATGGAGATGTTATCTATGCATGCTTCATCTCAGAGTCTACATGCCTTGGATACTGTTTACCATGGTGCAATAAGATTTATAACTAATTTCAAATCTCTTACTCATTGTGTGCTGTGTATGGGTTAGTCTGCTTTGTCCATTGTTTTACTTTATTTACTGTCTGTTCCTAAAGTGAGGTGGAGAAAAAGGACTTTTAAATACGCAGCACCTTTTGCATAATCTACAAAGCTGCAGTTTAAAGAATTGATTTCACTAAATGCTTTTAGAAAAAGAGTATAAATGATTTAGAAATTGAAACACAGGCTTGTAGATGTTTTGAGTAGTTTGTTTGTGTGATTCATGTTAACTGTCAATTGTTTTTGTTTGTTGTTTGTTAGACCCATACTGTCTCTTGGCCAGGACACTCATGTACACTGCAAAAAATGCTTTACTTACTTAGATTTTTTTATCTTGTTTCTAGTCCAAATATCTAAAAAATCTTAAATCAAGAAGAATTTCTAGACAAGTAAATCATATTGTCTTGTGTTTAGAAATAATATGCCAAAATGAAGAGAGTTTTTCCTTAAACAAGCTAAATAATCTGCCAATGAGGTAAGCAATATAATCTTATGTCAAAAGGAAAAACGAGATTATTTTGATTACCATTGGCAGATTAAAAAAAGCTTTTTTTTTTTTTTTTTTTTTTTACAGTGTAAAAGAGATTTTTAACCTCAATGTGTCTTTCCTGGTGAAATAAAGGTGACAATAAAATTATTGTTTATTACTTGATATTAGCTAAATTCACAGGTAACTTTGTATATGATGATAGCTTATAATTTATTGTAACTTTAACTTAATTTGACTGTAATGCAATAATGTGCATCTTTTCTAAAGCTGCTTTGAAACAATCATTATTGTAAAAAGCGTTATACAACAAATCAACTTGAATTGAATTGAACTATTAATTTTGTCTTAATTATTTAGTTCTCCATAACTGTTTACTAAATAACAAACTCTTTCATATGAAAGTGCTGTATAGTCAAATGCTCGGTTCCTGGAAGAGGACGAGATGTCTCGAGTAGCCTGAAGCCTGACACAGATATTTTATGTCTCTTGACATTCACGCTTTCGCAGACTAACTGCTCTGAGAGAGTCAGAGGTGGAAATAACAACAGCAACGGGGAGACACTTCAGGTCACTTCACAGCAACAGTGTCGCTTCACTTAAAGAAAATGTCATCTAAGCCCTAAAACAAACTGAAGGGAAATAAACGTCCTCCAGGAAAGAATTATAATTAAAAACTAAATCATGGCTAGACACTGCAAGAAGGAAAACAGCACTGTTTTGAGATTTAAGGCTTTGGCTTTTTAAGTTTAGTCTTATGTAAAGAAAACATAAAAATACACACACACACACACACACACACACACACACACACACACATATATATATATATATATATATATATATACAGTTGAAGTCAGAATTATTAGCCCCCCTTAATTATTACCCCCTGTTTATTTTTTTCCCCAATTTCTGTTTAACGAAGAGAAGATTTTTTTCAGCAAATTTTTAAGCATAATAGTTTAATAACTCAAATAATAATTTGAGTTAATTTGGGGGGGCTAATAATTCTGACTTCAACTGTGTGTGTGTGTGTGTGTGTGTGTGTGTGTGTGTGTGTGTGTGTGTGTGTGTGTGTGTGTGTGTGTGTGTGTGTGTATTCTTCTTCTGAGAAAGTCACATTTATTTCATTTTATTTCGGCTAGAATAAAAGCAGTTTTAAATAAAAAAAAAAAATTATTTGGTCAAAATTATTAGCCCCTTAAACAGCAATATATATATATATATATATATATATATATAAATTAACTGTCTAACAAACCACTGTTAAACAATGACTTGCCCTAATTTAGTCACTAACTTGCTAAATTATTACCCCAATTTAGTTACTCTAATTAACCAAGTTTAGCCTTTAAATGTCACTTAAAGCTGAATCCTCTTGAAAAATATCTAGTCAAATATTATTTTATGTCATCATGGCAAAGATAAAGCAAATCAATTATTAAAAATTAGTTATTAAAACTATGTAGAAATAAGTTGAAAAAATCTCTCTTCTAAAGTGTTTTATATGACTTTCAGTTCTAAGTTTAAGTCTCAGTTTGTTTTGTTCTTTGTTTAGTTTTTTGTTAGTTTTGTACATTTTTTGTCAAAAAATCCAGATGAAATTAAACATGAAATTACACATTTTTAAAAACATTTGAACTCTCCTTCATCTTTTTTCCAAAGCATCCAAATTCAGTTATACAAATAAAAATATATAATTGCACAACTTAATGTTAATCTAAGTAATACAAATAAAGTTGAAATCAGAATAAATAGCCCCCATTTATTTTTTCCCCAAATCTCTGTTTATACGTATCTTAATATATATCTTCATACTCAGTTTGTTCATGTAGATCTGATTATAGGCAATACACTATACATTTTATTCAACATTAAAATAGTGAAAATCTGTTCTTGATGGTATCTGAATTATAATGTACTAAAAAGAGATTCACTAAATCCTCTCTGTAGAAACATTTTACTCTACACTCTCAGAAATAAAGGTACGTGAGCTGTCACTGGGGTGGTCCCTTTTCAAAAGGTACAAATATGTACCTAAAAGGTCCATACTAATACCTCAAGGGTACGTATTATTACCTTAAAAGTACAAAAGTGTTCCTCTTAATATTTTTAGGTACTAATATATACTCTTCAGGTACCAATATGGACCCTTTAAGTACAAATGTGTACCTTTTGAAAAGTTACCACCCCAATGACAGCTCGCGTACCTTTATTTCTGAGAGTGTGTTATGTCAAAAAAAAAAAAAAAAAAGAATTTTGCACTTAAATTCATCCAAAAAAAAAATGTTTTTGTTCTAGAAGTGTGTGCAAATTTGTGCATAATAAAAATGAGTTTTTTTTTTTAACCTTGGTTTTAAATTATAAAAGCAAACAAACCAATTATTAAATCATTTATCTTGTGAAAATTAAAATATTTTTATTTACATTTCATTAACAATAGTTTTATTTTATATTATTTCATTTTATTGCTGTATCCAATGCCCAAAATAATGGTTTGATATTTTCTGTTTTTGTTTCTATTTGTTAAGTATTAATATTTACTACTTATACTATTACTACAACTAATAATAATAATAATGATAATAATGGGGCGGCGCAGTGGCGCAGTAGGTAGTGCTGTCACGACACAGCAAGAAGGTCGCTAGGTTGTTGGTTCGATCCTCTGCTCAGTTGGCATTTCTGTGTGGAGTTTGCATGTTCTCCCTGCTTTTGGGTGCTCCGGTTTCCCCCACAGTCCAAAAACATGAGCTACAAACGTGTGTGTGTGTGTGTGTGTGTGTGTGTGTTTTTGTTTGCGTGTGTGTTTGCGTGTGTGTTTGCGTGTGTGTTTGCGTGTGTGTGTGTGTGTGTGTGTGTGTGTGTGTGTGTGTGTGTGTGTGTGTGTGTGTGTGTGTGAGAGTGTGGATGTTTCCCAGTGATGGGTTGCGGCTGGAAGGGCATCCACGACGTAAAAACTGAATAAGGATAAGTTGGCGGTTCATTCCTCTGTGGTGACCCCGAATTAATAAAGAGACTAAGCCGACAAGAAATGAATGAATAATAATAATGTTGAAAATTATTTAATTAATTTTATTGTACGGTTGTGAAAGTGCAAATCCTATATCAATGGTTAATTAAAACAATTCTGACATACAGTATAGCTGTGATTCCTGAAAATAATATTTGCATAAATATACAGTACACCTCTGATTCCTGGAAAAATATAGTAGTCTTTGTTTTTCCCATTAATCATTATATTTACATTTCTTACCTATGTTCTAAACAGAATCTTAAATTAGCTTCAAGCCATTAATGTAATGTAAAAATAATATCAAGGCATCTGTTTCCTGACGCATAGTTGTTTTTCCATCAGTGATGATAATCATCCAACATATGTTCAGTATTGCAGTTTGACTGCTAAAGAAAAACGCGTTTTTCCACACTTTTGGAACCTCGCGAGGCCCCGTAGCATCACTTCCGGAATACGGCGGGAAAGATGGCGGCTGAGTCAAACGAATCTCAGACGGCAATGAATATGGGGCCTACATCGAGAGATGAGGTAAGAACTTCGCTGTTAGTTCCAGATTATGAAGTCGATATGTTTGTTTGACCGCGCTGAGCAGTTTTAAAGCGGCTCGTGGATGTGTTCCGGTGGGATTTTACGGGTTGTGGGCCTGCACGCGTGGAGCAGATGGCGCTGCTTTGGTTTGTGTGAGATCATTTGTGTACATTATGAACATAAACACTCTGATTTAAACCCATGATAAACTATTATGTTTGTCATTTAGTCCACTGAGTGTCTGTAAAATTCAAGTTACATTTGAAAGACAAGTTACGATAGGGATTAGGCCGAAAACGATAACAATATAAACCAATTACCGTTCAACAAGTAACTTAATGTTAATCAAAATCTAGTTTAACGTTACATATTTATTGCGTAGGCCGACATTTCCATATTTTTATATCACGTTAGTGAAATCTATTTTAAAAGCAATGAGATAAAGAGAAATCTATAGACAACATCGTATCGTTTATGATAGGAAACATTTGTGCATATTGATTTAATACATACGTTAGTGAATTAAATATATTGAAAGTCCGTGTTAATAATATATGACCTTGGCTGAATTTTTCGTTTAAGATTAGCAAACGTAATGCCTAAACTCCAAATATTGGTACAAGTTTGTTATTAAACTGTTTCACTGCTTAGATTGTATTGTACGTTCATTAAATTGTTATAATTTTGCTGTGCCCTTTAAAACCTTATGCTAAGTTAGGAGAGTATGTTATGGTCTTTTTCCCCAAACATGGTTTTTATGTACCTGTGCTATTTTTGGGGCTTTAACTATTTTGAAAACAGTAACATTATGAAATACTATTGCAATTACAAAAACAGTTTTTGTACATAAATATATTTTTAACATGTACTGTTAATCTCTTTGAACATTTATTTATTTATTTGCGGCTGAACTATCATAGTATGACACATCGTTTGGGAAAAGAACGATGTAGTGATGAATGTTTACCAAAATCCGTAGTTTCTCTGTTGCAGATCCTTCATTTGAACCTTGTTAGGTATAATGTAAAACACCCATAAAGCCTGGTTTATACTTCTGCGTGAAGTGATCGTCGTGACCCACGGTGCATGCAACGCATGTAGCTGTGCATTTATACTTTTGCGCACTGTTTCTGTTGTTCTGCAATAACACTTCCGAAACGCTAGTTGGCACTCAGGTGTTAATGTTCCTTTGTGTCGAGGTTCTTCACTAGTGTTTTGTTTTTTCTGAACGCTTCCTAAATGTACAAGTGGCTCAAACTCACTCATTTTGAGGCAGGAACCGACGGACGTGCAACAACTTTAACCATGAGGTAAATACAAAACAAAACTTTCCATCCGGAGCTCCTTCACGAGTCTCTACACTTGTAAACAATAGCTCCGCTTGGTCCCATCCTGAATCTCCAGCGCTACCAAGCCGAGCAATCAGATCTTGTGCTACGCGTCACTGCGACATGTAATTACATTTTTTTGAGAGGTGCATGTCAGCGACGGCCATTGCGTAGGGCTATGCGTCAACGCGTAGGCTGCACCGTAGCATACGTGCGCTTGACACAGAAGTATAAATCAGCCTTTAATGATTCTCTAAACGGGGTTAACAACTTTCTTAGACACGAACAAGTAATTGTGGCCCTGTTCAGGCAGGTATTCAGGTTCATTTTTCATCAATCTGATGCAACTTTTATTATTTACAAGACCTAAAAATGCAATTAAAAGTTTCAAATCAGTTAAACTCAATTTATAAAAAGACTAGCCTATTTTATGCATTAAATAATGAAATGTATAACTAATTTGCTTTATTTCCGATTAGACCATGCACTTAAGTCTGTTTTACAGTTTTAATATGTGCATGCGCTTGTTTAAAATAGCATTCGTTTAACAAAAATTTTAGCACATCGAAAGTAATTAAATTACCTGTCTTTTGATTAAAACCTTTATGCAAAAGGATCAGAAATGCACCCAAAAAAGGCAATCATCCGACACTTGACATGCATAGCTCTCATGCCACATTTTCAGGATAAATTCGCATCTAAGTGCTGCTTTGAATATAATAAAATGATTTAAAAGCACATTAAAGACTTCACTCATAAAATAAAACATTCTGTGACATAATTTTGATGATTGTTTGACCCATTAGTTGCACAAAGTAATTGCTTTCACCAGCGTCAAACATTCACCAGCGTGTAGTTCCCTTAAACTGTGAAAAATACATATAAATACATTTAGATCATTTACTACAGTCATTACTATTGGAATGTAAAGAGACTTTCAATCAGCACAGCAAAAAATGTTTCTAAAGACAATCACCTACTGCACCTTTAAGAACAACGACAGCAGGAATAAGATGTTTTTCTTTAAGATGCAGCACATTGAAAAGCGTTTAGATGACACAATTTTAAAGACGTAACCATTCCTATTGTGGGTAGCTTTCTCTTTATTCCCAGTATCCCCGACACGGCTAGTGAAAGTCTTCAGGATCCTTAGAAACATTAAGGCTTGTGTATTATCTGTAGCTAAACTCTGCAGGACGGTGTGACCCTCCAGGAGCAGAATTGGACATCGCTGGTTTAAATCATGATCTGGCTGTTAGTTATTTGCTGTAATTTGCAATGATGCCACTCTTTTCATTGGCACTGAAAGAAACTCCAGTCCAGCTTTTTTAGGTTTATGTAGAAGTGCTGATATTGCTCTCGCTCCCCTTACTCATATATTATCCTTTTTTTGTTGTCGGCCATGCAGTGTGTTTCTGAATGATTTATTCCTTTAGTGCTCAGCATTCTTAGTGTGTGTGTGTCTAAGTCTGAAATACCAGCCTACCTGCTGAATGGCAGATCCATGTTTGAAAGAGTAGTTTGCCATAAGTTTGCAGAAATCACTCGAGTCTCCCACTGCGTACAGCCTGGGATTAGGCTCAGTAGGGACATATAGGATGGCGAGTGTGTGTATGTGTCTTATACAGAGGAAAGCAAGCTCATGGCTATTCTTTGAGAGTCCCGTATCCGTCTGTGGCAGATGCAGAAACGGCACAGAGAGATTCGCATTACTGACACCATAGAAAGCACGCATCTGTTTTCCACCCGTCCTGCTGAAATGGCAAATTGAATTTTGATTGAAACGGTGACGGTGGCAGCTGTGAGTGGCATATTCAGTGAAATCGAATTGTGGGAGTGATGCCGTACTGCTGCTCGGGGAGAATCCGACTGTAACTGCAGATGTTAATTCACTGATCGCTTGTCTGCTGTCTGATCACTTCCCCGTGCTGCTTGTATTTGACCTTTGAATTTTTGCACTGCAGAAAGCTGCATTACATTCTGAAGTATTTGGTAATATTGGGAATAGGGCTGCACGATATATCGTTTCAGCAATAATATTCAGGAGCCTCAGAAGACATTTAGAGTCACTTTTTTAAAGAGTTTAACCATAATAGAGTGAATGTTTATCATTTGCTTGTGTTTTTAAGGTCTGTGACTGAGCATTTTAAGAAAGTTACATTTATTTGGACACAAAAAATGATAATGTTTGGAGGTGTAACAAACATTCATTGTATTTAAATATTTATATGATTTATGTTGGAGAAAAAAATAATTTTTGTCTTGTTTGTATTACAAATATGTACATTTAGTGAAAATAAGATTAATTTACTCGCCCCATTGGTAGGTAATTTAGCTTGTTCTAAGGAAAAACTCTTCATTTTGACTTATTTCTTCTGAAGGTGAAAGCAAAACAGTATTTTTTTTTATATATTTGTACTAGAAGTGAGACAAAGTAAGAAATACGTTTTTAACATTGTGATGCTATTGAATTTCTGTACCTGAATACTGTTAGACTCCACAGAAAAAAATATAGCTATTCAAATCATCTTGTGCAACTGTATTCATGTCACAATATTATATTTTATCACGGAAATAAAATATCACAATATTAGATTTTTTCAATATCGTGCAGCTCTAATCGGAAATTTGTAACATAAAGCTACAAATTTAGCTTTATTAAATTTAATCATAGACTAGATCTAATGATATTAACATCTCAACAGATCTGGACATATTTTTTTTTATCTTTTTGTGTTCAAATACTTTGCTGAGAATGTAGTTTTATATTTAAAGTACTATTATGTTAATTAAATTGTATTATCAGTTGTTGTTGTAAATATTTCATTTAACTGTATAATGTTTGTTTATAAGTTACTTATTATGTATTTATATTTTTGTATTTATAAAATGTATTTTTTAAAATCTAATTAAACATTTCATTTTGATTTAGTTTTTGACTTCAGTTCTTCAAGCAGTATTTATTTCTATTTTATTTAGCATTTATTGCTGTTAATGAAAACAACTTTTAACCATTGTTTGAATTATGAGCAAAACAATATTTTACAAAAATTCTTATTTTTTTTTATTACAGTTAGAACTTCAGAAATGTCCCATTTAACAGTCAGTGGAATTTATTTTATGTAATAAAACTGTTTTAATTTAACTTAATGATGACATTGCTAGTTTTATAATTTGTTTCATTCTTCTTTACAATATTAGTACAATTTTCAAAATACAATTTTTAGTAATCTGTCATTTGAGCCATAATTATCTAGACATCTTTCATCAATAGAAGTGTAAATTGAGTTCAAAAAGGTTTTCCCAAAAGCTCAAACCACATTTACAGGTAATCACCAGAGACTTTTAGCTCAATATTCACTTCTGGAGTCACATTCATATGCATGTTAATACATGTAAAAATTGTATACTGCAATCATTTTTTCACTTATTTAAACACCTGAGTCAAATGTATGAGGTATAAACAGAGCTTTAGTTACACGCAGCTTTAGAGTTGTATTTAGAAATCCAGTCCCCCGCTCTTAGACTTCTTTTCTAGACATTGCTCTCAATGTACACACTCGTACACTTGGACACACTACATTTCATTACGGCACTAGTGTTTTTCTTACTCTGTGTCGTCTTGCTGTCTTCTAGCCTCCCAGCACAGAAGAAATGGAGCAGCGACAGAGAAAGGCCAGCACAAGTTCATCTGAGGATGGAGAGCATGAAGATAATGACCGCAGGAGGGTTGTTGGTAAGCTTGCCCTTTAACTTTGTTTGGTACCAACTAAATAGTCATTAATCAGTGTTTTTCTACCCTCTTGCTCTTTTTTTATGCACTGTAGTCATTTATATGCATTTTATTATTTTTGCAGACGTTATTTACAGTACAGTGGTCAACTACTGTTTTTTTTATTATGTTTTAAAAATACTTTTGCTTTGATACCATTGATAAAATTGTCCATTGCATAGCATTGCAAAAACACTTGTGAATCATGAATCAATTTCTCTCATGTATTGTTAAATAGATAGTTCATACATAAAAAAACAACAAATTTTTTATTCTGATTCATTTGTCTGTGGAAAACAAAAAAGAAGAGATTTTGAAGAATGTTTTAACTCTTTTGGTCTATACATTGAAAGCCTGTGATGTAATGTGCATTTTTTGGGTTTACTGTCCCTTTAACTCAAAATGCCACCTTCCCAATATTCTCTGAATGTTATGTTTAAAAATAATCCAAGGTAGAACAAACCGCACATCTGATGACCGGAAAACTGTTACCTCAGCACTATACCGGCACATAAGCCTGCTTGTTTCCTTACAGCTGAGACCTACTTCCAACATTTCCTAAGTCAGCACAAGGACAAACACAGTCAGTGGCAGAGCAATGCTTCACTGTACACGCACCTGTTGTGGATGAGCACGCAGTTTGTGTAGCTAGCACGTTTCGGTTGACGTGAAAAATGACCTCAAACAAAAGGCCTGTTTTTACCAACTAAGTGAACTTATTATTATTATTTTTTTTTTTTTGTGACACTCTGTAAAAATTAAAATGTATTGTGATGCTTTTTAAAGTTCTAGGCCTTTTAACTTTTGAAATTAGACTGACTTAAATTATTTTTAATATATATAATTATGTTTTAGGGGTTTTTAAGCATTTATAGGACAGTAGAGTTGAGACAGGAATGCAATGTGGAATAGAGAGAGGATGTAGCTGCCCGCCGGTTATTAAACAGTCTATGCTTTCCAAATACTGATGTCGATGCGTTTTATTTATTGAACACTATGAAAGCTAAAAAGATAAACAAACAAACCAAATGTTTCACACAAGCACAACATAATCAAAAGGACATCAAAATAAACAAAAAAATATACAAACAATGTTACCTTTACAGTGTTGGCCTGAAAACCAGCATTAAAATAATCAGGAGCATTTAACATGTGTTTGCATTGAGATCTCAACATGCTGTCTATACCAACTCTCGCAGGTAAAATAATCAATGAGGATCTTGTGACCTCTGACTCAATCCAATTGGAAACAAGGAAATTTATAAAATAAACACCAATATACAATCAAATAATAAAATATGAAAAACAATAAACATAAGCAAACTACTTATCGATTAGCGTCAGCTACAGAGGGGAAGGATCGTCAAATTACCTTGAGCTGGGAGTCAAACTCAGGTCACCGTTAGCACCTTTATATGCTCTATGTCAAAACACAAACCACTAGGCTATTGGTGCAGACTTAAATTCATTATTAAAAACTATCAAAAGCATTAATGTCAGTCCACACATGGTGCACTATAAACAGCCCTCTACAATGAGAAGTCAATCAGTTGTTTAAACCAGTGGTCCTCAACCACCAGGCCAGAGACCGGTACTGGTCTGTGGATCAATTGGTATTGGGCCACAAAAGAAGTCATTAATTATTTTCGTTTTATTTATTATCTTAGTCTGAGATCTTCTATTTTGAAAAATGACTGTATTCTCTCACTTTAATTTTGGTCACTTAAGAGCCCAAATTTAACCCACAAGCAGCAAAATGAGTAAGAAACAGATGTCTTTGGAAAGTTTCTTTGCGAAGTGGAAAAAGCCAAGTGAAGGACCTGCAAACTGCCAAGGAATGTATCCGCTACCCATTGGTCAACAAATCATGTGAATCCACTGTTTTTGTAAAAAGATCAGCTGCTGGAGATTACAAATGACAGCGGCCCCTAAAGGGCTTTCAGCAGTGAAAATTAAACCGCACTGAACTAAACTAAATGGAACTTCAACTCTGAAATCTGAATCTTACTAGAACTATGTTAAGCTGCTTTGACACAATCTATATTGTAAAAAGTGCTATATAAATCAACATGAATTGAATAGTCTTTTCTAGAGTTTGTGCAAGTTCGTTGTTTCCAATGGAGGTGCACGCCTTCCAGATGAACCCAGTTGAATGAATGCCACAAGTGCACCGCGAGTCACGTGGCAAGAACTGATCGATCAGCTTTATACTTTGCATGGAATGTACACATTTTGGTAGACTAATTATCTCAGACAAACACAGAATTACCAAAGCACTGCAGTGGTTTGTAATTTTCTCTATAAATAAAACTTGTATCAGAGTGACAGCGGTCAAGCATAGAATTGATAAAAAGGTTGAGGAACACTAGTTTATACAACTGATTATATTATACATCTATAGATATATTTATTACTAACAGGGTTTCCACGGGTCATGGAATTTCTGGAGTATCATAGAATTTATTTTTTTTGTCCAAGTCATGGAATGTGAGAGATTTTTGCCAATCATTGAATGTTTTACCAGCCGATTATCAAAATATATATTTTCTGTTTTTTCTTGTTTTTTTAAACACATTGTTTCAGGTGTTTTGCCTATTGTTATGGTTTGGCTATTTTTTTCGCTGCCATTTTTTATCCTTTTCGACTTGTCAACCAAAAATACCTAATTAATTCAGCCTAAAATGACAGATTTTGCAATGTCTTTATTTGCTGCATTTCTTGAAAACATACACACATTTGCATGTCTTTGTTCTTGATTACATTTTGCCATTGGTATTTAAGGTGAACACTGAGAAATACAAATAGAGAAAGTGTTTACCTCTTCACCATATAAAGCCTACCACATCATATTTAATGAATAACCAAAACTGTTAAAATCTCTTCAAAATAAGCACTAGAAAAATCATGGTAAAGCTTCGTATTTTTAGCGATTGATTGGCTTTGACAGGGCTTTGACTGAATTATCATTAGTGATAATGTCATATGACGGATTAAAAAGTCAGGTCACACAGCTGAGAAGCACGGTGCTGTCTGACAATTTGAGCTATTTTCACCGGATGAGCACTTTTTATGCATGAATATAATGTTATTTAATATAAAACAATGCAGATTGTCTGGAAGGAGTTTGAGCAGTGTGCTGGCACGCCAAAATCTGCCACAATAAAGAAATGGCAAGCTCCTATTAATGCTACACCATTTGCTTAATTTTGCATTAAATTCAGCTGTTGCAGAAATGCTTAATTCTGGAGGGACTGCTCAGCTCTGCTGTTGGCTTTTTTATATTCATTATAGGTCATAGAAATTCAGCTTTTTATTCAGTCAACATCAATGAAAAGTCATTTGGCGTAGATTGGGAACCTTGAAATACATTTTATTCTGCATGACTATATTTTTTATTGTTGGCAACTGGCTAATAAACTGTTAGATTTCACTGAGCATTGATTGAGTTGGAGGCTTAGGTTCTGATATATTTCCACTTGTCTACTCTTGAACATATTGACTGAGCATTTTCCTCTGTGTCCTGACAGCACAGTCAGTACACTGTTCCTCATATCAGTGGATGCGGAGTGTATCTGACACACCATAAACTCTGCAGCGCAAATGCTTGAATTACTGCCTCGTGGCTGATGTTGCTCTGTGTTTCTCTCAAACACACAGAGAAAGACGCTCATACAACAGAGAATAAATGCACTACATGTAAATCATCTTAATTGCTTGTTTCTGGGGTTGTTTAGCAGAAATGGCAGCAATTCAAAGGCCAGCGCTTATGCATTGCCACATGCATTTTTTACAACCTCTATATGCAACAATGCAAACGTACTCATTGACTAACATGAACAAATGCTGCAATAAATGTATTGTTCATTGTTCGTTCATGTTAGTAAATGCATTAACTAATACAACCTTATTGTAAAGAGTTACTGCATTTTCTGTCATTCATTACATTCAGGAATTGCCATGCCTCAAATTTGGGAAAAGGTTAAGTGGATTTCATTTGGTCTAACAAACATTTATGCATTTTAAGTGCTGTTCTCAACCTTTCGAAAAGTAGTGTAAGTTAATATTACTGCCAGTATTTGCTTCGCTTGGCTCCTAAATCAACCTCGCAGGACAATGTCATGTCTATAATCAGTGTTTTCCCAGAGTGCTTTCTGTATCTCAGGGCTCATCTACATCCATTCTCAGTGTGGCACTGCGGACGCGTGTAACCTCACCGCTCCCGCCTGTTTATCTGATCTATTGCTCCCTGCTCTCTGGAGCTCATCACCAACAGTCTCACTTCAGTAGCTCTCATAGCCTGCGTTATCATCCATAAAATGCTTTCAATCATCCCTTCTCCTGAGCGGTTGCAAATCCAAAATCTCCCCAAACCTAAACAGCAGCCTCCTGACACCTGCACAAGGATGCTCATCCACATGTGATTGTTGTCAGTTTTTTTTTTTTTTTGTTTTTTTTACAAAGTCCAGGAGACATACATGGAGCATGCTAGGAAGCTGTGTTTTTAAGTGGTCAATATGTAAATCAGCGCAGTGAGATGAAATTGAGGACTAGTTGTACGCTAGTGTGCTATTTTATCCAAAGGAATATTGAAGTGTCATTTTATGTCTCTTTGGAGTGTTTGTTTTGGGACTTAGTGCACTATAGACAACAATGTCCTGTCTAACAGCAGGGAAAGCAGTTTACTGGCAGTTTCAAAGAAATGCTATTGTTTTTTACATCAATATTTAGCTGCAGCGGTTGATAACAAAATATAATTAAATATATAATTATTATTTTTTATAATTGTGATTTATTTTTATTATTAATATTATTATATTTTGTTTTGCACTAAATTAGTATACCAGGTTGATTTCTGAAAGATTTGCAACTGAAGACTGGAATAATGATTTCTATGGTGAAATGTCATAAGAATAAATTGCATTATTGGTTAAACTGTGAAAAATTTCTTGCCCTAATACATAATTGTAATTTTTTTAATGAAGAAATGATATATATATTATATAATAATTATATAATTATTAACTAATATTAAATATTATTAAATACTTTTTATTTGTTTTTATTATTATTTTTTAAATATATACAATTTTTTTATTTGTTTTTTATTACATTTTTTATTCGTTATTTATTTATTTATTTATTTATTTTTGTGAAAACATTTCACAATATTGAATAACTGATTTACTCTTAATTAAATCAGTGAGTCTCAGACTGTCATTCTTAGAATTTGGTTTAAACATTGAATTTGAAAGTGTCACCACCACCAACTGGTATATTTTGCTTTCCAGAACCTATTTTCTACCATCATGTATTGCTTTTTAAGTCATGATTTTTGCCCCTGCCTGCATTTGTTGCTTTGAATTGTTCTGCAAAAGCAGGTTTATATAATGTCCTTGATTAACTTTTATAATGGAGGATTTTCATTTTTTTTATTTAATCTCTTCACGTTGCTTGAATCAGTGAATCTCAGACTGTCAATCATAGAGTTTGATTTAAACACTGAAAATGAAAGTGTCACCACCACCATCAACTGAAGTATTTTGCTTTCCAGACCCAGTTTTCCGCCATCATTTAGTGCATTTTAAGTCATGATTTTGGCGCCTGCCTGCATTTGTTGCTTCAAATGGTTCTACAATAGTAGGTTAACTGCTAAAGCTGGAGATTAAGAGTGAAGCTGCCGCAGAGATTGACTCCATATCTGCAAATGATAGCAGCTGCCTGGGAGCCACTTCACACAGTGACTGCAGCAATTATGCATTTCAAGATCATTTAACAATAATCCACCCCTTCATGCATTTTTAAAACTGCTGCGCTGTTGTGCATGTTGTGATAAGTCATTATCGTAAATGCCTCGGAAGAAAGAGCGAAAACTGCATTGCTAAAGGTTTCAGTGTTTTTGTTCTCTTTATTTCGTGGCTGTGTTTAAACTGACAAAAGGATCCGCAGGAAAACAGCAGGTGTGGAGTCATGGGACCAGGAGCAAGCTCGGCAGAATCATCTGCTCTTTATGATTTTTTCATGGGCTTTATACTCTTCGGCACTGATTCAATGCTTGGTTTTTGAGCTTTGGCTTCTGTTTGGTGTGAATGTCACTTCAGGTTTGAGAGAATCATGCACTGAATCATTCTCCCAGCAGCAATTCAACTTAAATAGAAATGTAAATCAGCATTTGTCTCCAAGCCTTGACAGTTTGATGGCATTTGTACAGTGCAACAGTAAGCGAATGCTTGAAACGTTGCCATCGGGCTTTGGGAAATCCCATTTTACTTTATTGCTGGTACTGACAGCCCTCTAAAAGTCTTTGTGGCCAGAAACAGGAATAGGGATGGGACTCTTTAAGGTTTTTTGATTCAATTCAGATTCAGGCTTTACGGTTTGATTGTAGAATGATTCTTAACTCACATTTTCACTATTTCTTCCGCTATACATTTACATCTTTATCATTTACATTGTAACCAAAAACAATTCTATGCTTTTCTATAATAACTAATGATGCTTTGATCAGGATTTTTGGAGCTGATACCAAATACAGATGCTTCTTCTTGGTGATCGGCCGATACAGAGTACCAATTCTGATGCATCAAGCTTTATATAACTTTAACATTGCTAAAGCACATTTTCCCGCTAAATATGATATTTAAGTACAGATCTTTTCTTCCCTTGGAGAATAAATAAAGGATGTTGCTTATAATCTCCTAAACACATCTCTTATAACCATTTAGTGTGGACATGTTTGGTCAGAAGCAGCTTTACAGAAAATAATAGATAAAACATACAAAAACTTGGTAGGAAAAATGACTATGCAATTTGGAAACATCGCAAATGATGGAAGAGTAATTCAACAAACTTCAATGAAGAAGTAGTGGAGTGCATATTTGATGCATAAGGAGCTAAAATGCATCTTTCTCTTATTGTAAACCCATAAATGAACACTTGTCATCGGTTTATGTGATCGGGCATTGTAGCAAGTACCGATCGAGTCATAAATAGTGATTATCGTCCGATTTATCGGAGCATCCCTAATAATAACTGAAATCTCTGCATGACAGTACTGGCACCATAAAAATTTATTTAGTTTAAATAATTATTCAGGATAACCAATCTCTAAATGTAAAAAAGCTAATAGCAAAGAGCAATTATGAAAATCAGATGTATTTTGTTAATGATTTATTTTCCAAATAAGAGAGCATCACATTTTTTATTTGTTTATAACAGAAAATGTTAAGGAAAAAAAATAGAGTTTTAGTAGCTCTCCTGTGAATATACAACTCTTTTTCAAATAATTCCCAAGTACCAACAGAACGAGCACATTTTTAAACAATATAGTTTTAATAACTAATTTTTTACTTAACTAATTTCTTTTTTTGACATGGTGACAGTATATAATATTTTATTATCTGTTTTGCCAGATCCTAGTATTCAGCTTAAAGCATAAAGCAAGCTATGAAGCATAGTGATGTTTCATTAGTTTGAAACACAGTGCAGCATGCTTTGTTCTTGATTCCAAACTTTTGAGAATCGATCCAGAATCGTTAAGAGAATCGTGATGCATCGATTATTTTTTATTTTTTTGTACTCCCGACTCTGTATTTTAAAGGTTACTGATTCAAAAAAAACATTTTACACATAACTTAAATTGCAAAATCTGTTTTTTTTAATCAATGTGTGAAATGGTTTTGTGACTGTAAACACACAAATCAAAGTTTACATTTTTGAAAATGCCGTGTAAACACCCAAAATGAGAGTAGTTGAAAACGATGACATTGTTCATGTATCCGCATAGTTTATTTTGAATTGTGGCAGCTGTTCAAAAACCTTTTCCTGATGTTTTATTTTTTTCAGGGTCTCCAGGCTCCAGAGATGGAAGTCCACGAGTGGGCAGCCCCGTGGCGAGGGCATCACCCAGAGCCAAACGTGATCAGAAATCCAGCGACTCTGACAGTGACAGCAGTGACAGTGATGACGGTGTAATGCGTAAGATTAGGAGCAGTGTCATGCATATCAGGGTGAGTCACAAACACAGCATTTTTCTAAATATAATGTAATGGAAATATCATTACTTTAGGCATTTTCATAATTAAAACTGATTGATTGCTTGTAATTTCTGTCAGTTGGGCTTATAATTTATTTTCTGTCAGTATACATTTATTTATTTATTTTCTAATTTGTGTTAATGTAATTTGTGTTTTTTTTTAGTCACTAATCTGACCTTTTTTCGGATCAGCCAAAAAGGGGAGGAAACAAATGTAATTTGCTTTCCATTTATTACAAAAACAGTACTGCAAGACACTTGGTTTTAACAAACAGAACTTCAAATTTAAGTTTTTATTAAAAATAAATTGAAGAAATAATCATCTGAATAAAAGTAATTAGTAAAATGTTCAGTACTGTGAAAAATTATATATTTTTTTACACACAAAAAAAAATACATAAATAAATGTGTACTGACAAAAAAAATGATTTATATGTTATATGGAATGTAAGTGAATGAATCATACAATAAATTCATGCAGAATATTGTGAAATATCATTACTTGTTTTCTGTCTCTTAATAAACCAACTGTATTGATTTATAGATTGTTTAATTTATTTGGCCATTGATGATCAATAATGAAAACGGTTTAGAATTCTGTACTTTAAATGCGTAGATCTCACAAAAATGTGTTTAAACTTGAATTTGATTCATGCCATTGCCAAGAAACTCTCACACAGGTCTTATGAAATGCTGTTTATTATCATGAATAAAACAAACACTGTTGACACACAGCTAGTCAACAAACCTAGTGCTTGAGTTATGGCTTTGTTTTTCTTATGCTCTTGTGTCCATTTCAGCGTACCTCTGATGAAGAGACCAAAAACAGAGAAAGAAGCTCCTCACCTGACCGGTAAATCTTATTAGCATCGACTTAGCAAAATCAATGCAGAAATAAGACTTTTTTTAACAAAAATGTCATCTGTCTCCACTACAGGCATGAAAAGAAGTCAAAATCAAGATCCCGCTCAAGATCCCGCTCCAGATCTCGCTCCAGATCTCGCTCTCCTCGTGAACGTTATAGAAGGGCTCGTAGGTAAGTGGAAATATGTGCAATTCAGATGTCCCAGACAGATTAGCTGCCATCATTTTTTTTGTATTTTTCTGGACTATCCATCTGATTCATTTAAAACAGAGGTTTCCAAACTTTTCATCCCCCTACCCTCAAAGTAACAATGGCAGTGAATCGTGACCCCCAAATTCCTGTAAAAATATAGGTGTGAAATATACATATACAAACATTGCGCACACAGCAGTAGGCCTATATAAATTCAAGCATATAGACAACAAAAAAAGTGCAACATTATAACAATCATCAAATTTTTATAGTCATCTATTATGCCTAATTCTATTATATTGCTATTTGTTTAATTTAATATTAACCTCAACTATTGAGACCACTGGGCACAATGTTTTCTGCACAAGTCTATTCTTGGTTTAATTTTAAAGACCACCAATCAGAGATCATTCAAATAGTTAAGTTGTGGCCTGTATTTATTTTTAATGTATTTGATTTCCATAAAGGTGTCAACGTTTAACCTGGTGCTATAAACAGGGTTTGTACGGGTGCTGGAAATCCTGGAAAATGCTTGATTTTTAATATAGTGTTTTCAGGTAAGAAAAGTGCTTGAATTTTGGACAAAGTGCTTGAACCTGCTTGAATTTAAAATTGCAGGGCTCAAAATTGTGTCCATTTTGATTGCATATGCACCTGAAATATTATCTATGCAAGGTCCAAATATATTTTGGAACATTTGTGTGAGTGTATAAAATTGTTGCAGTGCGACCAGTTTTCACTGCAAAATGTTCACAGCATGCGCGTATTTAGTAGACATTCATGCAGAGAAACGCCAAACGAAGCACTCAGGAATAGTTTTAAACAAACATGTCAACTTGTTACTACACCCAAAAAAAATCTGACTGTAAGCTCATTTTTTGAGATATCAACTTTTGATAGAAAGAGTTAATATATATATTAACCATTTTTTGGGTGAATTATCCCAATAAATCTATGCTCCAAAGTATTCAATAGTTTAAGTTGAAATGTCATATTGTGTTTTTAAAAATAGCACAATGGATTTAAATGTAAAAAAGTACATACAGCGTATATAAACATATTTTACCATGGTTATTAGGAAAAGCATACAAATGCACCTTGAAAGTGCTTGAAAAGTGCTGGAATTTGAAGTTAGAAAAAATTGTAAGAACCCTGTATAAAATCAATCTGCTGCAGCTGACACTATTGCTGTGTTGTTAAATTAAACACAACAATACTATGAAAAAAAATAACTGAAAGGCTGACGGTTTTTTATTCGCATGTTGTTGTTTTTATGTAACTATAAATTACTATTTTTATTTTCTGTGTGTTATGGATGAAATATCGAAATTCTAATAGTTTATTAAAATTAATTTGACATTTAGAAAACACCAAGCGGCCCCTGTCATTGTTCATCGACCCACCAGGGGGTCCTGATCCCCACTTTGGGAACCAATGATTTAGAAGCTAAATTTATGAGACAGAAGCTTCGCTAAACAGTTTTGGAGAATTTCAAAAGTTTTAAAGAAGGCTACCGAGTGAAATGACTTGCCTTAAAGGAACTTTGATATTACATACATGTATACTAGCAAGCGAAATGCGGTGCTTGAATTATTTTCTTTTTCAGTGTGAAAGGGAACTGAACTAGAACAGATATGCCCAAACTAGAGCCCGCAGGCCAAAGTTGGCCCTTTGATTTGGCCCACCATCCCATCTGAGAAGAGGAGAATGTTGGGGAGATTGCTTTTAACAGAGATCATCATTTTGAATTAAACGTAATCTTTTTTTTTTTTCAAATGTTCAGCTACAACAAAGCAAACTGAAATTAAATGTTTCAATTAAATGTTGTAAATGAATCAGATTTTTAAAACATGTAACTAAATACTGTTTAAATACTCGATGGATAGAGGACAATGCACAAAACATTGCAAACAAATCAGTGCAAAAGCTTGACTTGTGTATTCAGCATTAAACTCTATTGTGTAAATAAATGATTGTTTTTGCTGTAAAATGTTCATTATATGTATTATTTTATAAATTATACTACATTAGTTTAAATAAAGCAGTGTTTTCTATTTATTTATTTTTTTAATATTAGCAAAATAAATTAGGAAATTACTTGTAGCAACTTTAATGTAATACAGTTTGCTATATTTACCTTCGGCCCACAGCCCTCAATCAAATTTGTTTTTTTGTTTTTTTTATAAGTAAAAGTTTGGGCACTTCTGCACTAGAACTACCAAGGCAGTCCTTTTGACTGTTTTTAAAATTTTGTAATTTAATAACTATTAAAATAAACCCATATAACTATAGTTCCCTGACTTGCAAATTTCCATTCTGGCATTTTTTTGTTCTCTATTGTCCTTGCATCAGGTCCAGGGAGCGAGAGCGGGACCGTTATGGTGATCGGGAGCGTTACGAGCGGCGCTCCAGCAGAGAGAGGGATTGGGAACACAGGAGGAGGGGAAGGTCAGCCTCTCCAGACAAAAATGATAAACCTCCCACTGAGGAGCCTCCAGTGAAGAAGAGGAAGGAAACGCTGGACCCCATCCTAACCCGCACCGGTGGGGCCTATATCCCACCGGCCAAACTGCGGATGATGCAGGCTCAGATCACTGACAAGAGCAGGTTGGTTTCACTTTACTTACCAGTTCTACACACTCATGTTTATTAATATCTACTCACTGAAAAAAAATTACTCTTAAGATTTACTTAATAAAACCTTCATAACATTTTGCACTAGTAAATTTCACTGTCTTATATCAAGTACAATTAACTTTTATGTTACAACCTCTTTGATGTTATTCTAAGGTAAAAGGTAAAACATTTAAGCGCTGGCAATTTACTATGTGATAATGGAATTAAAAAGACAAACTACGGAAATGCCAACAAAATTATTTAATTTACAAATGTGAAAAATATACAAATGTCCAAATATATGAACAACATGAAATATTTACAATAATGAAAAAATTAATAAAGTGGCAAATTCAAAAAGAAAGTACCAAACAAACATATTAGGCCAACTCCGGAGGAAAGGGACGCTAGTGAAGCCAAACAAAAGAAAGAAATATAACAAAACAATTTAAGAGTAACTTTTACCTGGCTAGAAAGCATATTGAAACAAAAGCAACGAAAAGTCTTCAGCGCCGCACACTGTATTCTTCCCTATTCTCAGCTGTCGAATTAATAAAAAACAAAAGATAGCGTTCACCTCTTACCTGGTGTCTCTATCAATAAGTAACCTACGTGTTTGCTAGAGTAATTTGGACTTCCTATCCAACCTACTCTCTAAGAAAAGAGTGAATTTGATGAGTGGTAGCTTGATGTGAAGCTGGAAAGAGCTGGGCCAAAAAAAAAGTAACAAACAAATCAAACTAAATAAAAATTTACAAAAATCACAGACGTCTCAAAAGTGGGCAAATTGTTGCAAAATAATTTTACCCAAACAAAAGTTTAGCAAAGTCATCAAAAACTAAATTGTGTCAGCAAAAAAATACAAAAAAAGTGCCCTCCTCTCTGCTCTTCCTGGCGTCCCTTTTATATTGCTGCGCCATGTCACCTAATAATGACTGAGTGGTCTTCTGACCAATCAGCTGTCAGAGTAGGCGAACCTAATGAAAATGACAGGCATGGAGAGGGAGGGAGAGAGAAAGCAAGAACAGGAGGAAAAATACAAACAATATACACACAGACGTAACATGTCAATATTGTCAAATGTGCTTATTGTTTAACCTAACACTCCTAAATAAAATAAAAGTTAATTTATTATCTTTAACTTTGAGTCTATATTTACCTAAGTCAGTTTCTGTTTTTAGCAGAAGGAACATTGCTTTTGTCAAATTAAGTAAATCTTACTAGTTTCTTATTGCAATTACTTATTATAATGAGGTTACATTTGGTGTAGCATAATTTAATTAAGACTCCTAATTCAATCCCATGCTGGGAACTATACATTTATTACTACATACCCCTTGTTAAAATGTACTTAATTAGTAGGTTTGCAATAGTAAAACGTAAAAAAAAAGTAAAATTTATTTTAATATTTCCACTCGTTCGGTTTATAACATGAAGTAAATGTAAAATGTTTTACTTACAAATTCTTGTTATCCTTGAAATAATATTTCGATAAAAAAAAGTTATGACAGTAAAGTTGTTAGATTTTTCTATACCAAAAAGTTTTTTTTTTTTTTTTCAATGTAGGCTATATTTTGTATAATTATCATCAAACATTTGAAACTTATTATTAGGGATGGGTTAATGGACGATGCCATCGTGGCCGATAGACATCACGATGCTGAGGCAGCATCACAATCCTCCACCCTACCCCCATCGCAGCTGCAACCCGCTCACGAAAAATACACACTTATGCCCTGTTTACACTAACATGTCTTAGTTTTAAAATGGCATTAAAGAATGAAAACAATCCACGTCAACACTGGTATTTCACCTACCATTTCTGAAAAGATCTCCGTCCACACTATACCGCTGAAAACGCACTTCACGTGACCACACACAGGCTTGCGCTGCAGCATATGAGTACATCTAAGTTCCAGGCAGTCAGCTGGTGCTTTGAGCACAAAACCGCTGAGAGCAGGTCACGTCGGACAGTTTATCAAGGATGTACCGCTTGAATGCGTCTCACTATAGTTGTTAAAGGTGATATTTAATTAATCTAGTGTCTACCTAACGACTCTTTGGTCTTTTTAATCTATCAGGTAACGTGTCAAAGCGTCAGTACACTTCAATCTTTCGCTTTCACGCTTGTACTTAGTAATTTTAATGAAAACCCAGATACTGTTGGTTGGTTTCTGTTGGTTGTGCACCTTTTTTACCAACTAAGTTTGTCAACGCCATTATAATGACACAGATCACTCTGCCTATTCATGCCAGAGTTTCATGGAAAAAGTGATTGACAGGTGTTAATTTGTGTGTAACTTATCTTTATTTGTTTATGATTTGGTTATGGGTAAAACAAAGATGATGCGGGTCAGGTAGTTGAAACGGTAGGCTACAAAATAATTCATTTGTTATAAATGAATAAATTATTTATAAATAATTAATATATCGCCCAACCCTACCCGTTATTACAGTAAACTAAGTGTCATAAAATAATGAGTAATACCTCAAAGATTGATATTTTAGTATATTTGGTAAATTGCAGCTCCCTGTTGATCTTTCCCTGTTGAAAATGGTCCTTATGATGAATCAAATAAAACATGCAGTGATTTTATTCAAATAATACCTTTGTATCATAGTTTTGCCTAAATAATAAATACAAAAGATTTTTGTTTTGTTTTTAGTTTTCAAATGTTTGGGGTCATTAAGATATGTATTTTAATATAGTAATATATTCATTAGTAAAGATGAAATAAAATGTCACAATTATGATGTTTAAAATCAATATTAATAAATGATGTTCATCTTCCAAAAAGAAAAATGGTTTCCTCAAAATCGTTAATATAGTTTTTCCAACATTGATAAAATTAGATAACAATAAAAAACAGAAATATATTGAAATATAAATTAATAAAATAAAAAAAAGATATTTTATTTGATTTAATACAGGCTGTCCGCAGGCTCTTAAAAGTATTCAAATATGATAAATCAATGTAGGGAAAATTAAGGCCCTTAAAAGTATTAAAACATCTTCAATGCTATTTTACAAGGTTTTCAATTTTATATAGCTTGTGATTATGCAATGTATGGTTGTATGATAAAGTTTGCCTGAATTAAATCTGCAAATATCAGGAAGCTGTGTAGTTTGAGAAATCGATAAATTCCTGCTTGATTTGACATCATGCTGCTTTGTTTACTGCAGTAACCAAGGCACCACCATTATATCTGCAGCTTTATAGGTGCCAACCTGCTAAATTAGCTTGATTTAATATATTTTTATTCAGTATATGAATAATGTTTTAGTTTTGGATTAGTTTTTTATTTACATTAGAATGTAGTAAATATACTGTAAGCTGAAATCTCGCCAGTGTTTCTGTTGAAACCTAAAGTGGATATTAGGTCTTAATGTATGAAAAGAGTCCTAAAAAGGTCTTAAAATGTATTGAATTTCACTCTCTAATTCCCGTATACTCTGTAATAAACTCATTCTCGAGTAGCTTTTATAACTTTTTTTTAAAGACAAACAAACAAGTAAATCAAACCCCCAATTTGTTACTCTTTTTATGAGTTGGTATTTATAAAAAAATATATAGTCATGTAGTAAAAAATATTAAGAAGTCATACTTAATTTAAATGTAATTTTTTTTAGATAATATGACTATAATAAAGTCAAAGCAACACATGAATATTTGCTCTCAGAATGCTGAAAAATAAATATATTTTACAGCTTTATTGCCCCGCTCCAGTAATGAGTGATCATCAGGTAAGAGAGGGGGTCTTTGTGGATCCATCTTCAAGTCTATTGATTTTGAAGTCCTTTCAGACGCTGCGATAAGAATAGATTGTGATTTATTGATGGCGGGAAACGCATCCACATGAATTTAGTGAAGGGGTCGATTAGATTTCCTCATGTAGAAGAATGGAGGTCACCAGTCAGGATATAAAGAGGTGTCCCTTAGGGATGTGGGATATCTATAGCAGGAGTGCTTGAGGCCAGACACTGGAAGACAGGTGATGGAGATAATACATCACAGATCAGTCTCAAGAGCAGCTAAGGGCAGGAAATTAGATGAGGTGAAGGGGAAAAGCTGTTCTCCAAAAAACTCCTCAGCATCAGCAAATTAGATGCTACAGACTAGGGGAAAAAAGACAGCAATGACGTTTTTGTCCTGTTATAATTGTAGAGCAATCTGTGACCTTTAAAATACTCTATGACAGGGTGCTAAAGACAAGGATTAGATATTTAACATCTCTGCTGAGTTAACAATCTGAAATAGTTTCTTTTAAAAGAGGAAGCGTTAAAGGCTGAGTGTGGTTAAGTTTTAATTCATTGTTTTTGTTTTATTTTCCCAGTTTGGAGTATCAGAGGATGAGCTGGGAAGCCCTGAAGAAGTCCATCAATGGTCTGATCAACAAAGTGAACGTTTCTAACATCGCCAACATTATTCAGGAGCTGCTGCAGGAGAATATTGTGAGGGGCAGGTAAAGATTGGCCCTTTCTAAGATTTTCTGATCTTTGACTGTTCATAATGTGTTGTCAACATAAACTGTCACAGTCCCAGGGCAAATGTCTTTTTAATAAGGTCAATTGATATGTACTGTGTAAAATTCAGAAAATCTATCAGATGTTACAGAAAATTAAATATACCTCATTATTTTTATTTTTTATTTTTTTAATGCAAAAATGTAAACATCTCAATTTATTTAAGATTAAAAATAAACTTGAGTCTTCACATAAAAAATTCTGTCTGTAATTATGTACTCACCCTTTATTTCAAACATTTATATATTTCTTTCTTCTGGGGAACTTCAAATAAGATATTTTGAAAATGTTGGAAACCTGTAATCATTGACTTCAATATTAAGAAAAACAATTATTCAGTGGTTACAATTTTTCAGCTTTCTTCAGAATAACTTTAGTGTTCAACAGAATAACTCATAAAGGTTTGGAATGACTTAAGGGTAGGGCCAGACGGAATCTGCGGATGTTTTCTGCTATTTCTGCGGAGAATTTTGGTAAAAATCTGCTGATTTCTGCAGAATTATTTTGGGAGTATCCAGTGGAGTATCTTAACTAAAACCTTAATATATTAAATAAATAATAAATTACTGAATAAAAACTGAATAAATTCACATTTATACATTTACTCAAGTAAATAAACAGAATTAATAATGGGCTAAAAATCTGCAGAAATCTGTGGAATTCTGTGGAAAATATGCAGAATTCTGTGCGCTCAGATTCCGTGTGGGCCTACTTAAGGGTAAGTAAATAACGAGGAAACTTTCTTTATTGGGCACAATATCCGTTAAACATGTCATTGACAGATATTTGTGCATGTTAAGCCTGATTTATTTTATTTAAAAAAAAAAAAAAGAATTGATTACCTCAGACTCGTTTTTTTGACTGGTTGACAAATGAGATTGGTGCTTGTGTTCACATGCCTTGTGCTGCTAAAGTTACAGTAAAACATGACCTGGTGGCGTTCACCACAAAACGAGCACACAGGAATTGCTGATCAAATAGGATCCAATGTTTAATTTCATTTCACTTAATGGTTAATTCAATTTTATGGCTTGTAACTTTTTTTACACAAACTTTAGACCAGGAGTTTGTATGCTGTAGAGGAGGACATTAAACAGAAGTGGAAAAGCTTATACAATAAATGAGTGAGGGTGACTACGTCTGTGCAGCGCTACTTTGTGTACTGGAGTGTGTCTGCTTTTTGTTAAAGGATGTCTATTATGCAAATATCACTTTTATTAGGGGTTTAAGCACAGTTGTGTGGTAACAGTGTGTGAATATAGCCAATCTCTAATGGTAAAAATTAGTATATTATATTTTTATAATCACACTTTATAAAAACAGTCTGCAGAAACACTTTAATTGGCATTCTCCCTTTGTACATGCTATCAGAGGTCCAAAGCATCACTTGCAATCTCTCTTGTTAGAAAACACAGTCCTGAATGAGAAGCAACCGTCTGCCATTAGAGATTTCACACCATACCTGCCGAAGATAATGTTAGAGACTAAGAGACTGAGCCTGGTTTCTCAAGGTTTTTTTCCTTTACTTTCGTCAATTGAAGTTTAGTTCCTCGCCACTGGCTTGCTTGGTTTTGGGACTTTTGGGATTTGTGGAGCTGCGCATCGATGTATTTGATCTTCAATGTTTGGACTTTCAGCAGTGGAAATTAAACCACACTGAAATCAACTAAACTGAAATTCAACTATAAAAACTGGACTGACACAGTTACAATTTACTAGAACTTATATTTTAAGCTGCTTTGGCACAATCTACATTGTTAAAGCACTATAGAAGTAAAAAAGAAAAAAAGAAGAGACATTATAAATGTGAAGTTTTAGCATGAACAATTGAACAACAGTCTCTATAGTCAAACCTTGTTCTTTGACATTTTCATTTTTTTCACAGAGATAACTTTAGTTCTGTTTTGAATCTGCCAATTTATTTGTTGAAAAGAGCACAGTCACATTTGAGTTTAAAGTGACAGTGACTAAAAGGCAAAATTTGGATCAAAGTCTATTAGGGTCAGTTTCAAAAAAATGTAAAATAATGCTTTTTTTGTTATTTTAAGCATCTGATTTATATTTTGGCTATAAAAAGTGTCTCAATAGGTCTCATTTAAGTGAAAATTGCTTTAGTATGAATGCCAAAAAACACGCTGATGGTAAATGTGAGTGAAATTCCTACCGGTGTGCATGAGCCTTTTGGGTTTATAAACGGGTAATTTTTTTTGGTCATTTGTAATAATTTTGGTGTTGCTCTCTGTAGGGGTCTTCTAGCCAGGTCTATACTTCAGGCTCAGGCTGCGTCTCCCATCTTCACTCATGTATACTCTGCAGTGGTGGCCATCATCAACTCCAAGTTTCCTCAAATTGGAGAACTTATCCTCAAGAGGCTTATCCTTAATTTCCGGAAAGGTTACAGGAGGAATGATAAAGTAAGCCCTCAGGAAACACTGGGTACAGGTTTCTAAATGGAGCACTGGTTTAAATAATATCCTGACTTTTCTTTTTCAGCAACAATGTCTCACAGCGTCCAAGTTCGTAGGTCATCTCATCAACCAGAACGTGGTATGTCCCATTGGCTCTTTAAAGGGATAGTTCACTCAAAAATGAAATGTTTTGTTCGAAACCTGTTGAACTAAGAAAATATTTTGTGAAATGTTGTAAAACCAATTAGTTATTGTCTTTCATTGTATTTGATTTCTACAACTGAAGTCATTAGCCATGTTTTATCCAAAGATGCAAATTCAATTAATGCACAAAACTCAAATATTGCATAAAACATTTGTGAATAAAGCCCCATTTCCATCCAAGGAGTCCAAATGGCACCAAATATCTAAAGAAAAATAGAAGTTGCAACATTAGGAGAAGACCTTTTTTCAAATCTAATAATGTGCTCTTGCCACCTGCTCCGCAACCTTCAAGGTTTCTTTTTTCAGTTATGTATTTTTGTTTAAGGCTCTTCCATTTATTACACAAATAAGTCCACGGTTTGTCATATCCTTTTAGAATCACCTCGGCTCACACTTCTTGCAAGATTTGCACGTACCCTGATGTTTTCCGTCCAGGATGGTCATTTCTTGTTTCAAACCTGAGTTTCTATCTCTGTTGAACTTGAGGATATTTTGTAAAATGTTGTAAAACCAATTAGTTATCGACTTTAACTGTATTTGATTTCTACAATGGAAGTCATTACCACCGTTTTATCCAAAGATGCTAGGTAAATTTATGCGCAGAACTGAACTATTGCCAACAACATTTGCGAATAAAGCCTCGTTTCCATCCAACAAGTACAAATGGTGCCAAATATCTAAAGAAAGATTGAAGTTGCTGTGTTGGGAGAAGGCCTTTTTTCATATCTAATAAAATGTGCTCTTGCCACCTGCTCCGCTACCTTCAAGATTTCTTTTTCAGCCATGTAGTTTTGCTTGAGGCTCTTCCAATTATTACACAAAGTAGTCCACGGTTTGTCATATCCTTTTAGAATTATCTCTACTCACACTTCTTGGAAGGTTTGCACGTACCACTGATGTTTTCCATCAAGGAGGGTCATCACTTCTTTTTCATATAACATTTAAAAATGTTTGGACCTCATCATCCACTCAAACATACCTGTCACTTTCTGCCATTTTTGTTATCACATGATCTGTTCACTGTAAAACCCAACAGTCAACTTTATCAAATGAAATGAGTGTAGTTAACTCAAAATTCACTAAAAGTTAACTCATTTGAAAAGAGTTTTAAACTCACTGTTGAAGGTAATGAGTTAATTAAAAACCTCATTACTTCAACTTAAATGTAGTAAGTTCACAGTACTTGTATAGATTAGTTTTTTTTTTTTTTTTACTCAAATGGTTTGTAGTAATCGATTTCCTCAAACGGTTTGAACTACCTTAACCTATTGGGGTTTACAGTGTTGAAATTAAGTCACAGGATTTTTTTTCTTGCTGGAAGTTTATGCACGTCCATCCTGGGTTTTTTATGTGAAATTGCAAAATGTGCATAAAAATAGGTGGATAGGAAAGCAGCTTATGGCTCCTGGTCACTAACATTCCTCAAAATATATTTTGTTTAAGACAGAAAAAAAAGGATTTGGAACCACATGAGGTTGAGTAAAATATGAGTCAAGTTTCATTTTTGAGTGAACTGTCCATTTTAACAGATTTTTGTGTATAGACTACTGTATTTTTAAATGTATTTCACCTCCCTCAAGGCTCATGAAGTCCTCTGTCTGGAGATGCTGACCCTGCTGTTGGAAAGACCTACTGATGACAGTGTGGAGGTGGCCATCAGCTTCCTAAAAGAGTGTGGTCTCAAACTGACAGAGGTCTCTCCTAGAGGCATCAACGGTACACAACTCCCTGCTTTCTTTGATTTGATAATTATAGACAAGAAAGCAGAGTATTTCAATAGTCTTATTGTCATTTAGTCAGGGTTATTCACGTAAAATGTAAACAAATGATAATAAATAGCTAGAGTTTGGTTTTGTTAGTCATAAATTGATTTGTGGTTTGCTATTGGTCAATCCTATTAACAGGGTGATCACCAGTATACACTTTATCGGATAAGAAGGTTTTGTTTAAGAGGGAGAGGAGGTTATTATGATTAAAGATTACAAAGGCAAATTAATTTAAAAAAAGTGGTCCGATAAAGCATTTATATAATACTGCAATTCTCCATGAATAACTTTTTTTTGATTTCACAGGGACTTTAACATTATTAACATTATTATCAAATGGATGACTTTATCTGCATCTCTACATTGTCATTTTTTCCAGCCATCTTTGAACGTCTGAGGAACATCTTGCATGAGTCAGAGATAGATAAGCGTGTACAGTACATGATTGAGGTGATGTTTGCCATCAGGAAGGATGGGTTTAAGGACCATCCCATCATTCCAGAAGGACTTGACCTAGTGGAGGAAGAGGACCAGTTCACACACATGCTTCCTCTAGAGGATGAATACAACACAGAGGACATCTTAAGTAAGACTTTTCACATTCTTTCAAAGTGTGTAAAATAATTGTACTTTTTCTGTATAAGCAATGGGACTGGGAGTGAATGGATGATTTGAGATTTTAGTTCTTATTTATTGATCAGTTTGACAAATATATTAAACTAAAAAATACTATGAACTAAAAAAATCTACATTTTTTTCCAGCATCTTATTTGAGAATCCAACATCTGATTTGTAATTGTATTGTATTGAAATTTCAGTATTATTAATTTATCTGGTAACACTTTATATCACAGGTTTCAAAGCCAGTTCCTGGAGGTCCGAAGCTCTGCACATTTTAGTTCCAACTCTGCTTCAACACACTTACCTGTTACTTACCTTACAGTTCTGTAATGTGCGCGTTTGTCGAATATGCAAGATTATGAAATCGCTTTGAATACCTCTGCACTCACATTTGCATGGCACGACCACGTGTGCTCCATGTATATTATAAAGTCTTCCTCCTTTTTTGTCCTCGCTGCTAAAAGGCCTGGATTACGGATGTAGAAAAAGATCATACTTACTTTATAAGGGCTAATAAACTGTTAATATCTTAATAGTAAGCAGGTGCTGAGTCAGTAGAAAATAGCATGAGTTGTGACTTAAACTAAGGTGTTTACATTTATTTGCTACTTTTTCTACTTTTTAAAATGAGGTTTATAATTGCATACAATTGTCTGTTATTGCTCATTTAATTTAATTACAAAATGGATATTGTTAAATATCATAGCAACCTTATTTGAATATATTTAAATGTAATTTATTTCTGATATGAATGAATTTTTAGTGTCTTTGTTGTTACAGAAACCTTCAGAAATCATAGGCCCAATCCCAATTCTACCAATTAGGCCAGGGGTGACCAACCGTGTTCCTGGAGAGCCACCTTCCTGCAGATTTCAGTTGCTATCCATATCAAACACACCTGAACCAATTAATTAGGACCTGAACACCATGTGATAATTACAGGCAGGTGTGTTTAATATGGGTTGCAACTGAAATCTGCAGGAAGGTGGCTCTCCAGGAACAGGGTTGGCCACCCCTGCCTTAGGCCTTCCACTTACCCCTACCCGTCGTTTTGCGCATTCACGTGAAGGTGTAGGGGTGTCCCAATTCTCTTTAGCTTGAAGGCGTAGGGCTAAGAGGAAAGGCTAGATATCCATTGAAATGGAGATTTTTTTTTTTTTTTTCAGGACCATACTTGAAATCAAGGTGTACGAAAATTTCCCACAATAAACCATCTACAATGTCAGCATGGCTGCACACGCGAGTCACAAATGCACAAAATAGTATTTTGTATCATTTTACAACAAACTAGCACATGTTTTAATACATTCATAACCGCATTCGTGCTTTACTATCAGGCTTTAAAAAAACAGGCTAAATTAAAAACTACTATCTCTAATCCCTAATAATAACTCCTGTATAGTTGTCCCACAACATACTTACATATGACACTCGACAACCCTGTCAGAAAAGTCTAATGGCTTGGAATGAGCTTTTTACAGTCTCTAGTATAATGTTAATGTTGTTTTCAAGTGTTTACATGGATAAATATGGCTATGGTGTTAATGTACAGTACAGTTACCATCTTATTGTCACATTTTACATGTTATGATAACATGATATATGTCTTCAGTGATGATAAATGCCCAAAAAATAACGCAACTGAAATAACTACAGCAGTCGTGATCATCGATCTCATATGAAACAAGAGATTGCGATGACATGATGACGTGTGCAGGTGTTGTAGTGGTGTCCTATTTCTTAGGAGTCAGTTTTGAAAGGGTAGGTAACATTGGCATTAAGCCATAATATGTTGAATTTCGGTTCAAGATCATTGAATATAATCAATTTTATATAAATCAGCTATTACATAATATTGTTGTTTTTTTTGTAAATATAAAGTAAAAAAAAAAACATCAGTGGTTTGAAATGAAAATCTTTAACATCATAAATGCTGAATAAAACTTCTAAAACTCTTACTGACCCCAGATATTTAAACAGAACACGTTTGAGATGATAAACGTGTCAGTGATGATTAAACCCATGCTTTAAGCGTTTAATTTTCGGCATTTCGTTTAAAAAACATTGCCGCTTTCATCGCTGCAGGTGTTGAGTGAATCAGATTCACCAGCTCGCTCACCTAACCTGCCAGCCCTCAATTTCTCATGTTTAGCAGCTAATTACCTTGATATGATCATAATGGATGACTTCCTTCTCTCTTCAGCCACACACGAGGGAACACATGCTCTCAAACCAGAGGCTCATGTCCCTGCTCTCTGTCTGTAATTGAGGGTTTTGCTCTCTCACTTCTCATATTTAGCCACTGTTTGCACTGATGTTTACGGATAAGCTTCTTTTCTGAGGCTTCTGAGACAAAGTGCGCTAATTGAAAATCCATAGAAGCGGCCCTTCGGGGAACAGGAACAGCCATTATCACATTAAGCTCTTTTTATGCATTACGACTAATACACAGCAAGTTTTTTTTTTTTCTTTATGGGTAATTGCCTCTGATTACATCTCGTTGGCACTGACTTAATTGCTGTGAAACGTGTAATTGCAAGCGAACGTCTGCTTTACATCAACAATATTCCTTTTGCAGATGTTTTCAAGTTGGATCCAAACTTCCTGGAGAACGAGGAGAAGTACAAGACAATTAAACGGGGTGAGTTAATGGCTCATTTTCTTTTACGCGTTCTCTGTTCTTCTCATTACAGTCTATTAAAAGAGATGCCCTCTGATGCAGAGTCTCCGCTTGCGCATTTTAATTTTAATTGTGCAGTAATTGTACAATGGACTGGAGACAGCCATATGGTACGGGAAACTGAAATGGTGGCCCTTGATTGCGACAATTGGAGATGCTTGTTCTCTGATGTGGAAATGATGACTTTATTTACGGCTTGAGGAGCTAAGCTAATGGAATCGTTCAGTGGGGGAGAAGGTGGCAGAACATGATTGTGTGACATAAGATGCCAACAAGAGACCTGGGCAACGATGAAGAGTGTGATTATGTGATACCCTTGTCACTTTTTCCTCACGTCAAGTTGAACTGAATTCCAAGTAGAATGAAGTTTTAATCTATTGAGACTTGGTTCTGCATGTCCATAGAAAACTTTAGTGTGTTCTCCATGATATGCACTTAGAACTTAGTTCTCCATGAATATGCAGAACTAAGTGCATATAATAGAGAACACCATTCATGGATATGCAGTTCTGTTTTTGTAGGTGGACATAAATTCCAAATGCTCATTTAAAGGAATCGTTTGCATGCTCAAAACAAATTTGAGTGTTTGTTTTTTTTTTTCAATTGAACACAATATATATATATATATATATATATATATATATATATATATATATATATATATATATATATATATATATATATATATATACATATACATACATACATACATACATACATACATACATACATACATACATATATATATATATATATATATATATAATTTTTTTTTATTTTATTTTATTTTTTTTTTTATTAAGGATACAGGTTGATGGCACCCATTGACTTCCATAGTAATTTTTGTCCTACTATGGAGGTTAATGGGTACGACCGAGTTGCATTTTTTATAATATTATTTGTGTTCAATAAAAGAAAGAAACTCAAATTGGTTTAAAGCCACATGAGGACTCCAGATGAATATATTTGAAGCAAGAAGGAACCCAATTCTAACAATTATACACGACTAACTTTAAACATAAAACAGATTTAATAAACAGCTACATTACATAAGTTTATGAGACATCTCCTAATTGCCCCCCCCCCACCCCTTATTTTTTATTATTATTAATTTATTTATTTTAATAAATTTTTAAATATAACTTCAACACAATATTTATTGTTTTAAAATAAAACTGTGCAAATGTCCCTTTTTTCCCCTTTCTTTCTAATCTTTTAAGTATCCATTTGTATTCTTACTGACTATTTCTGATGTATCTCTGATTTTCTGTTATGTTCTAGTTAAAAAAAAAACACGTGGGAGAGTAAATAGTGATGTAATAGTCGTCTTTGGGTGAACTGTTCCATTAAGACTGTTAAAATGTGATGACTATTTAGTAACAGCCTTCACTATTACTGTGAAATCTATAATATCCTTTGTTTATATTCATATATATATTCATATATTAATTTGCCATTCAGTGACAGACGGACAGGCTCATCCAATCTATCGAACTCCATCTTTTAAAATTTAAAACTCAATCTAAATAAAACACTCTCCTCATAAAAGCCAGCTTATCTGTGCGATGCGACATTGAAAACAGATGATTCGGTTCGCGTCTTCTGATTGGTTCTCGGAACATAGCGGCTGCTGCTGTCAGAGGGAAGTGGCATTTAGAGGCTTTTGCCAACAAACTGTTATTTCTGAATGCACTGACGCCAGGATTTAGATGATTTGAAGCAAAAATGTTTGTTGAACATGTACTACGTGCGTAAAGCATTCGCTCAATGTCATTAGGTCATTTTTAACTGAATTGACCGTTAAGCTACTTTTCCATCTCTTCACATATACAGTTGAAGTCAGAATTATTAATCAGACTGTTTATTTTTTCCCACTATTTCTGTTTAGCAGAAAGAGGTTTTTTTCAACACGTTTCTATACATAATAGCTTTTAATAACTCATTTCTACTAACTGATTCATCTTTGCCCTGATGAGCTTAAAGTGACATGTCTGTATGAATAAATGTTGTTATTTCATTTGCTACACGTACCCAAGCATGTGCCAAACTTGTGGTGTTTTCAGTCATCACAATATATAAGGAAATGAGCACATTAACTAAAATTTTTACGGTTTTGAGAAAAAATACTGTCGTATTATGAAACGTACATTTTTTAACCATTTTTTGGGCTGCCTTTAGCTTTAACTTTGTTTAATGTAAAGAAATTGTAATCAAAATGAAAACCTTTCATAGAAATGGTATTGTATGTTTTTAATTGATTGAATTTATTTTGAGCTTTCAAATGGAATCAAGAAAAATTTCAATTGGGAAAAAGTCAAACTTTGGGATAAAATTAAATGATTAATTTGACCGCCATACATTTTGATTTAAATCTAGTTGTTATTAGTCCCCTGTTTAGTGCATCTAAAGCAGTTTGTATTGATTGAATTACTCAAGTAAAGTAAAATAAAAAAATGTTTAGGAAATTAAACTATTTGAACATCATTATAATTAACTCTGAATTGACTGAAATCACAAACTTTAATGTATAGTGCAAAAATCCTACAGCTTTGTTAAATAACTGAAAAATATCTTAACTTGAAGTTGGTGAAAGGGATTTAATCTGTTGTCTTTTCATGTCTCAGAAATTCTTGATGAAGGAAGCAGTGATTCTGGTGACGATGCGGGCGGCAGTGGAGATGATGAAGACGATGATGAGGAAGATGAAGAGGCGGCAGCTGGAGAAGGTATTTTACTTTACTGTATAGTCTGAGAAAACGCATAGTATATTAATATTCAGTGTTTCCATAAGATTTTATTTTAGAAGCAGTTTTCTTTTTCTTATGCGAGTGCTAGTGTTTGGGGACATTGCTCTGCATTAGTTCCAGTAGATAATCCTGCTCATATAGTCCCTTGGGTCCTCAAGCTAAAGAGAAACTGCATAAACCACTGCAGCAAGCAGGAGACTGCCTGTTCCAGACTGTAGCACATTGTGTTTCAGGCTTTAAGGCATCATGTCTTTTTTTTTTTTTGTCCCCCCTGAGATCCACTAAAATTTATTTTTTTAAATTCAAAACAGTCTTAATTTAGTTTGAGGCCAGACACATTCTCTGTAGACTTGGACTGTTTAAATGCACACACACACCACACCACACCACACCACACACACACCCTGTTGAACATTTGCATCATAGGAAACCTCAGTAAGCAAGTGGGTAATGGTTAGTTTCAGATGTCTCATTCACATCGCTGCTATAAACATGTCGCCCTGAACACCCAAAGCATGATGTTTATTAAACTGTTGCTCTTTTTTTTGAGTGAGATAATTGGCCATAGACTTGTTATTTGCTCATTTTAGTAGCACTTGTACAGATGCTTTAACGGTAACAAGTATAGATTTGAAATCATTTTGAGATGATTAATTCTTTCATTTATGGACGTTTGTTATAATATGATACTTTTTTCATTAGATACATTATTCATTACATTCATAGAAATTTACATTCGATGTCGACTACCCTGTTGTTGCCTATTGGAAGGAATGCGCCAATAAAGACGCCATTTTAGTACAGGGTAGTAGGGGTGTGTACCTACACTGGTCTCATGGTTCAGTTACGATTATCATGCCATCGATTCTGTTTAATTCGATATCTCGGTGGATCACGGTGCATTGACGATACTTTCCATACATAATTAGATTTTTTCCTCACAACACAAGATTTCTTTTTTTATTAAAATCTATAAACATATTAATATTTATATATAATTTGTAATACAATTGTTCTTTAAAACAGCAGTAAAATATATGAACTGTACCTTTAATTTTACTTGCTCAAAGAAAAAACTATTTCTCAATGTATCAAACAAAACTCCAATACATGCACAGAAGACAGCATAAGCATAGGAAATAAACTAATGTAAATATTATCCTGCTTCCCTTTTGAGCGCTGTCTTACACCCCTATTATTTGTCATTGTCTTCACCCACTCAACAGAAAGGGCTGCGCTTGGCTTTAGAAATGAAAGCGCCGTTTACCAATAAGTGACGCGAGAAGAACAGCCGTGGTTATAGTCTGTATGTGCATAATACGCGGTTATCACAGGTAATGCGAAATAGACACGCTCGTGTCTGGATCCACAAGTATCGCTTTACCAGCCGAGAGGAGAAGAAAAATTACCTCACAAACAGGCCAGCGCAGCAGGTGAAATGTCCAAAGTGTTTGAGAGATGGAGAGAGGCAGAGACGGATTTTTACAGCATCTCTCCCTAGTAGAGAAATAGCGGCTCGTGTGTTGTGCCTTCTTCAGTGTCAGCGAAAGACTTTCAAGCAAACTCACAAGCAGTTGAATTGTGCATAATTATCTACCTTTTAAGTAGTAGGAGCGTTTTATTTAGTCGCCCTCGCCTTCTTAGCCATAGTATTCTACTGCGACATCGCACATAGGAAATAAATGACGTCAGTTTATAATAACTGGTTATGATCTATTTCTGAACCGATATCCAATTGTCCCCATCTGCATCACGGTGCACCAAAGAAACAATTAATTTTGACACCCCTAAAGGGTAACGCTTCCTTGAAATGAATGAGGGACCAATGTGCAGTGGAGGACTGTGGCCATCTAGAGCCAGAGATGTACACAAATACACATATATACATATATCTATTATCGGGATTTTTCCTGGTGGTCAGTACGCAAATATATTTTTTTAATTATGAGAATTATAATTTTTCGTAATATTTCTATATGGATAAGTGACTGCACAGACATTCTGACAGAGTATGTGTTTGTGTGCATGGAAATGTAATTATCCCTTCCTACTTGTTAAATTTGATCAAATCCTTGTCCTGAAACACATCCCCTCTCCTGCTTTCACTTCTCATTCTAACAGAGGGAGCGATTTGTTTGTGAATGAACCCCTTCAATGAACGACTCATCACTTATGTAATTAGCTGACAATTATAGAAGTTTCTGGCACCAGAGCGTGTTCATATATATCTTTTTATTGTTTGCTGATTTATTCAACAAAACTAGCATTAACCTTGTATTTAGTGTGAACTTGCCTTTGCCTTACGATGAATGCAGTAAGAGACAAGATAATCAATAACATGACTTGTTGAGCACAAAAGTGCGTAACATACAAAAACGTAAAACCGAAATCTTACCTATGAAATGTTTAGCCTTTGTGCTTTGTTTTCTTTGTTTGCTTGTTACTACACCTATACATGGTGCTAAAGTCCAGCTTCTTCACATCTGGCATATATCTATGCATTACATTAAATGCATTTGGACAAAATATAATACTAAAATATACAAGAAAAAAATTATGCATATTAGCCTGATAATTTTTCAAAAAATAACACTAGCATATACAAGAAATACATTTTAGCAGGATTTTCTACCACTAGATTTTGTCCAGTTTTAAGCAAGAGGTTATTATTTTATAAAAAATATGACACAATTCCATTCATTAGCATTTATTCTTTTATGTATTTTAGTGTCGTGTAGGTCACAGTAAGTATGTTTAATTTTTATAGAAATATGGGTGACTTTTGTCCATATTTTATTTTCAATCGAAAAATTATACATGTTTTCTGCTATATTCATTCTTCCATGGCGGGGCGCCACACCAAAATTCAGTTTATTTGAGAGCGCACAAGAAAATGCGCTTGAGCAGCATATATTTAGCGGCGTACATGAAGTTTTGCGCACGAGCAGAGGATATCGGCGCGCAAGCAAAGACATTCACAAGCTTGTATTATATGAATGCGATCTAGACTTGTAATACTGCGCTCACAACATTTGTAAAATAACGGCACAGGTAGTTGGTAGATCTGTGTAAAATAAGTCCTGCCACCACAGCTGGAAAAAACCCTAGAGTACACAGTGATTATGTATTTTAAGATTATATATTTTACTTCACTTAATTTAAAATAACTTATGTCTATCAAAAAACACATTTCATTTACAAAAAAATCATAAGTCCAAGGCATTCGGTGGGAAAAAGTAAAAAAAAAAAAAAAAAACTTTTTTCGACTTGGGACCTTTTCAGAGTAGCTTGGACTTAAGATTTTTTTGTAAATCTATTTGAATCCCTTATCCAAAGAGTACAGACACATTCATTAGGAAACTGGTTTCTAGTGACAGTTATAATTTTTTAAACTTTAAAATATTATTGAAGAGAGACAGCTGTAGAGTCACACGTGGCTCCCGAGCCATAGGTTCCCTACCCCTGCTTTATGCAGTATTTTAATTCAACTTTCCCCCTAAAAGATTATAGATCAAACTTCAAATCTGTCTCTAGCGTTTTTAGATGTTCCTGAATTTGTTACTTGTTATATATCCCATTGATTATAATGTGAATGTTCAAGTGTTCCCTGTCATTGAGCGCAGATGGTGTAAAACTCTGCGTTCCTGTGATCAGTTGAGCTTAGCTGTGTTAATTGCTTCATCAAAAAAAGACAGTAAGCCTGTGAATTAAAACAACTCCACAAAGAACAAGTGCTATTGACCTCTGGAGACATATCTTATGACAAAAGCTTCAGTCAGCCTGTTTTATCTGACTATTTGGCTGTTCTTCTTCTTCTTAACTGTATTTTTGGTTCTATCTAGAACAAGAGAAAGTCACCATTTTCGACCAGACAGAGGTGAACCTGGTCGCGTTTCGTAGAACGATTTACCTCGCCATCCAGTCAAGGTGAGTGTGTGCATCTTCAATTAATTTCTGTGTCGTCTTCCATGAGCAGAAAGAAAAGGGCTCTAAAAGCCATCAGAAGTAGTCAGTGCAAAGGCTTGTTTTGGCTGGAATTGAAAAACAACCCACATTTGAGATCCCATGTGCAGAGATGAAGCTGCTTTTTTCTTCTTGTTTTGAGACCAAAGCTCCTGAGGCCTCAGTGAGCAGATTGAATTAATAACATTTCAGATTAGTTGTTTTTAATTGAATTTCGCCGGCACAGAGCAGCAGACGTGCCATCATGGATCACAATTCACTGTGGTGACTTCAAAATAAGTTATCCTTTGATATCAGCAGGGTTTGAAAACGGTCTAAACAATAATTCAGAGGGCCGATTGACGAGAGTAGGAGGAAGAGTGTTTTCCTTGGCTGTTTTTCAATGTATCTGCTTTTCACTAGGGTATAGAACTGGAGTTTTTTTTTTTGGTGATATTTATGAGGTCTTGATGTTGATTTGTGGTTTGTTGATTCATAACATCCATGTGGGTTTTTTATAGACCAAAACTTAAATTCTAACATCAGCTTTTGATTATTTTAGGCAAGGCAAGTTTACTTATAGCACATTTCTACAATGGTAATTCAAAGTGCTTTACATAAACCGGAATAAAAGACACAAGTATAACATAATAAAACAACAGAATAAAATGAATAAAAATAGAATAAAAACTCCTGGAATTTGTAATTTCCTTGACCCTTATGATCTTAGGGATCTGTTAGGTTTGTATTCAGTCAGCGTTAAGGTTGTCACGATCCTCCAAATCCTCGATTCGATTACATTTTTGATTCTAAAGTCACGATTCGATTCGATTTTCGATTATGAATAATTAATTAATTAATGACCAATTAATTATTTGTAGCCTACCATTTAAACTACCTGACCTGCGTGGTCTTTGTTTTACCCATAAACAAATCATACAGTAAATGAATAAAGGCAAGATACACACATAATTACCACTTGTCAATCACTTTTTCTGCGGGACTCATGAATAGGCAGTGATCTGTGTCATTATAATGGCGTCGGTAAAAAAGACGCACAACCAACAGGAACCAGCCAACAGTATCTGAGGTGTTCGCTAAAATGACTAAGTACAAGTGAGTGAAAGATTGAAGCAGTCCTCTGACTGCCTGGACCTGCTCTCTCGAGCGCATGGCTGTGAGTGCGTCTGTGTCTGTGTGGTCACGTGATGTGCATTTTCAGAGGTAGAGTGGAAGAAGGGCTGCTCAGAAATGCTGCACGCCACTGTGGATGTCAAATCGTTGTCGTTCTAAAATGCCATTTAAAAACAAAGACAGTGTAAACAGGGCCTGAGTGTGTCCTTTTCGCGAGCGGATTTGCAACGGGGGTGGGCGGAGGATCGCGATGCCGGTGTTGTCTATCGGACGAACCGTACGTAATACGTACATAGCAGAGCTTGCAAAACTGTGTTTTTTTTTTGTCGACAACACGAACGTTGTCAACATAACTAACTAGAAATCCAAAATACTTCCACACCGGCGACTTCATTGAAAGAGGAGAGCAAGCCAAGCTGATGTGACATGGGGGCGTGGCAGCATCGACGATTCTATTTTTTGATTCGATAATCAAAATTGAGCATAAATTTTTTTAATCGAAATCGTGACACCCCTAGTCAGCGTATGTGTAATGTATTGATATCCTAGGCCATTTAGTGATTTATAGACAAGTAGTAATACTTTAAAATCTATTCTGAATGTAACTGGGAGCCAGTCTAAAGACCTAAGGACAGGTGGGATGTGCTCCGATTTTCTGGTTCTGGTCAGAATCCTGGTGTTCTGGATGAGCTGCAACTGTCTGACTGACTTTTTGCAAATGCCAGTAAGGAGTGATAAAAAGGAGGTGATAAAAGCATAAAGTTTCTCTAAATCTTCACTGGAAACTAAGCATTTAATTTTTGCAATGTTTTTGAGATTATATTATGATGGTTTACTTGCTGTTTGACATGACTACTGAAACTCTTATCTGACTCCAGAATCACACCAAGATTCTTGACCTTATTTTTTGTTGTTTGACCCTAGAGCCAAGGTACGCATTCACTTTGAGAACCTCATTTGAGCATTTCTTTAGAATGTAATAAGTGTATTTAAGGATTTGAAGCAAGTTGTTTTATTTTCAGTTTTTTTATTTATTTATTTATTTTTTGATGTTTTACTTTGAATTGTTCTGTGGTGTGACAGATTCATTGATTGATTGATTGAATTGTGGTTGACAGGTCACATAACTACACATGTATTAATTATAATAGTAGTCACTTTAAAAAAAAAAATTTCCAACAATGTAAGGTGTATATGTACAGCAATGGAAGAAATTAAGAGACTGCTTGACAATTCTTTGGATTTATTAGGTATAGGTTTGAGTGAAATGTTAATGTAGTTTTTATTCTATAAAAAGATGAGGACATTTTCCAACTCAGGTTCTAAATTATCGTGGATTTCTTGTTTAAGGATGACGCCAGGGATTTTAAAATCTTCTTACAAAATGTTGCATCTTACTTTAAATAAGCTTGCAAAGGCTATTTAATGATTGTTACATATGCTTGTTTATATGGTGTGTTTTAGGTGTAGTGCTAGCTGTGTTTATGGTTCATAACTCACAGGCAGCCTCGCAGCTTTCCTTTTTCCTCTTCTATTGACCTGAAGCTTTAAAAGGCTTCTGTCGTGGAGTATGTTTGAAAGCACTAAAGCTTTCAGTGCCTCCAGGCTGTTGAGCACTCGCACACCAAAGATGCAGCAGAGGCTGTTTCTGTCAAGAAGTTTGTGTGGTCAAGAGAGTCTACTCAATGTTTTTTCAAAAAACAAAAATGCCACCATAATTCCAGATTATACTAATATAAAAATAAGATATAATAATAATAATAATAATTATTATTATTATTTTTATTATTAATAATAATAATAATATTATTATTAGGCTGCATGTCCACTGAAGTGTTGTTTTTTTTTCCTCAAGCTGAGCATTTGTTTTCTGGTTTTGTCAATGGTAGAGCCGTGTTTTTGAGTGCGTGCGTGCGTTGTAGTGAGGTGCTGAGTGGGTGTTTTATTTTACATTCTGCGCTGAGTGTGCAGCACTTTTTCAGCTGTTAAAAGATGCAGCGTCCATTAGTCAGAACGTTTACATGGACCCCAATAATCTGATTTTAATCCGATTAAGACAATGCTCTGATTAAGAGTCTACTATGTAAACAGCAATTTTTTATTAATTTAATAATCAAACTAACATGGACATGTCTTAAATCGGATGAAGACATGTGGAGTATGCTGATTTTAGTCGCATTGAAGTGCAGTAGAGATATGTACACACTGCAATCACACATTACTGTTGTCAAGGATTTTCGCTGAATTTTGCAACAGGCTATTTAATGCACACACGGCTGTTTGACACTATTCTATGCACCTACCGAGCCCGTGAAGGATCACAGACACGCTCAACATGAAATGCAGAGGGTTTTTTTCTACCGTTTGTCGTGCAGTATCAAATTTCATTAAACAACACTCTTCACTGGGGCCATCCAGTTTCCTAAATGAAAGTGAGAGTGCCAAACTGCAGTTGAAGTCAACAAATAAAAACGAAATACACAAAATTACATGAAGTTTCAGAGGAAACGTTAATCATCATGTGCTAAAACATGTAAAACAGTATCATGAAAGCAACATTCTTAAAGCAACTCATGTAAACACCTTAATACTATTATTGTCTTATTCAGATCAAGGCAAATAATTTGAATACTGACGTTCATGTAAATGCAGTCAATTTGAAACAAAAAAAATATCGTGAATATTTTAAAAGCATTATTAACTCTTTAACTGATCCACCAAGAAAAAAAAAAGATTGCATTTCTTAACTCCTAATGTCTCTAGTTAACACACTCAATGCATTTTTTTTTTTCAACGCATCCCATAATTTCTAAGATTTTAACCTCTAACAAATGGTTGATGTGTCCGTTTATGGTAAAAGTACTGAAATTATTATACCGATCAAGTCAGAATTATAGTAATTAATAATAAATTATGGGCTAATAATTTTGTCCCAAAAATGTTTGTTTTTATTATTAAAAACTGCTTTCATTTTAGCCGAAATAAAACAAATAAGACTTCCTCCAGAACAAAAAGTATTATTAGATATACTGGGAAAAGTTCTTTGGTCTGTTTAGTATAATTTGGGAAATATTTAAAAAAGAAAAAAAAATCATAGGGCGGCTAATAATTCTGACTTCAACTGTATATACTATGATAAATATGTAAATATGAAGTTTAAGGCCAATTAAAAAAAAAAATTATATATATATATATATATATATATATATATATATATATATATATATATATATATATATATATATATATTTAAAATAAAACTTTTTGAACACTAAATCATCTTTATTTTTTAAATATGCAACAAAAATATTTTAGATTTTCATTTAAAATGCTTTTTTGTTTTTTTATTTATTTTTATTATTATTTTTTTTTTTACAATAAAACCTATAATAAGTTTAGTAATGCAACAGGATTATGTTTGTTAACAATACTATGTGTGTAAGCCATTATTTAAAACAGTCATTCTTAATATTACTTTAACAGTCATTGTTTAACACAGTCAAAACATGCTCAACTATTTGGTAGAGCGGGCAGTCAAAGGGTTAATAGCAGCAGTAGTATTACTCTTTAAACTCTTATGTTAAGTTTACTCTTAAATGCACATTTTTAAAACCAACAAATCTGTTTTTGGGTGTCATTTTATTGTTGTACGGTCCTTTGATCTTAAATCTCAAAATTTTAAAAAATTTATAAACTCATTTCACGAGGATCACATGCTTATGATTGTTCACAGCTGGTCCGGTATGATTCAATTATGATTCACCAATCAGGTTATTTTTGGAGACTTAGGAATCGTCTATGTTTATACCGCAGTCATCTTTGATTTGAAGAATCCCCCTTCTTCCCCTACT